AATATCCAGACATAGTGGTGATGTATTCAAGTTACAGAAACAGTTAGCATTCAACTACAACATACACAACTACAATCTTATTCATAAAAGGCAAGTTGATCATAACAAATATATGCAGAATGATCACAGAAATTCATCATTGTGAGACTATTTACAACTAACAATTAGACATGGATATAAAGTTTTCATAGTGATGACCCAAAAAATACTTAAAGATTAACAAGCACTTAAACAAAGAAGGAGAGAATTTATATACTTAAACTTCATATATTTTAGTTAAATGATAAAGAGTTAAACTGTGAGCTTTCATGTTTGTTCTAGTTAAGATTATCAGACAACATCCTTAATAACAAAATGCAGGAATAGTATGTCAAGGGTAAAAATCATAGCAACATTAAAAAGTGAACCTAAGGCCTATACAAACATAAAAAGTTAGGCATATCAAGTAGCTTAATCATATAGGCTGTTTAATAGGCATGCTTGATGCAGAACAGAAGTCAAAGTTACTAAGAGCACCTGATAACTTAGTCAACACTAATAAAATATAATAGCTAACCACAGATCAATAACAAAGTCATGGTGAACTAAAATAAATAATTATAAACTAACAACAAATACAATAGACGAAAACACTTAACAGAGAAATAGTAGATCATTCATGATTTTTAAATGAAGCAATCAAAAGGAGGGTGGAAGTACACTGACATTTTTTATGGCACCAGACCAAATAGGGTTTCTAACTTAGCCATATCAAAACAAAGATTTCAAGCTCTTGAGCAGTGAAGAAACTCAGAAAACAAAAGAAATGGAGATCAATCAGAAAAAGAAATCTAGCCTCCTAACTAATATAAATTTTTTAGACTGTTGTTTGGTAGGTTGCTCTATGATGCTAGGTATAGTTGGTTGTTTTCTTGGTGGGAGCATTTATGACTCCTATTTATAGTAGCATTCAATGCCTTAGGCTCAATAGAATTCTAACTCAGTAGTGGAGAGTGACAAATGGGTAGTGATGTGAGAATAATCAAGTGAAAATCTTAGGAAACAGAGGGAAATCAGTGACGTTTTTTGCCTAGGCATGGGGAAATGAGAGATTGACCATTGAAGCATGAGAGACCATCAGTCAGAACCCTAATACACAAAGGTCATTGCATTTGACCTCTGGATATTGAATATCAATGATGAAGCTAACTAATGTCCTCATGCTTACTTCGACCTGAAAGAACGAAGGAAGAAATCAGACGAGTTGAAAATTCATTTTTTTGTCTGTGAATCCTTGATTTGGCTTTTGAAATCAAATGGTGAAAATGCAAAGAACAACAAATTTGCAGTACATGAGCAAAATGGATAACCATAAATGCCATGGATTTGAATGATCAAAAGTGATTTAAGGTTTTATCTTTGGGGTTAGGGTTTGGATTTGAGGATTTCAAACTTGATCGATGAAAGAGGAAAGATTCGGAGAGAATCACGGGTGTGGGAGAAAGGGATGATGAATCTCTGGACGAATTCATAACCTGACACAAATTTGTGCAAGGTCTTTTGATTGATTTGGGCTGTGAGGTTGAGTGAAAAGAGAGAGGAAGGGAAAGAGAGGCGGAAAGGCTCGGGGGAATTGATTTTAGGGCTAGGGGGTCTGGGAGGTGATCTCTAAGGATAAACTTGAGAGACGAGATCTGGGCCATTGGATCTGATGATCAATGGCCCTTATACTTCGGGCATTTAAGTTTTTGAAGAGGAATTTTGGTGGATGTCAGATTATAGAGTTTTGACGGTGGAGATGAGATCTCCGGGCGAGTGTTTAAAAATTAAAAGAAAACGGTGATTAAATGTAGATTGTTGATCAAATAGACTAACGGTTCATATGCATGTGTGTTTCTTGTGTCAGTGAGACTGGAGAGCTTACGTGGCGAATTTCTATTAGTTCTCACGGGTTAGGGCGGATTTCCAAAGTGGAATAGAGGGTCTTTTGGACTGGGTCAGATGGGATAATTGGGCATGGGTATTTGGGATGAAATTGATTTAATGAATATAGCCACTTTGTATTTAATTAAGAAATAGTAATTGTATCTTTTAGTTTTTAACCCTTTTAAAATTAATTTAATTAAACTTAATTGATTTCTAATAAAATATAGTAAAATTATAATTATCAAATACACAACAAACTATTGTAATTAATTATTTATAAATTCTTCATTTCTAAATTATAACACTAGTTTTGAATTATGAACACGACAATCTTATTAATCAAAATTTGACAAGTAATTCGTAAATTAATTATAAAACATCTATTGTGTATATAAAAAATTATTTTAATAGTATTAAAATATTAAGTATATTTGTAATTACATAATTCTAATGCTTGGTTAGTAATTCAAACCTAATACTTAATTAATTTGTAAGAATAGGTAATTATTGATAGAAAATACTTTTAAAATATTCATTGTAAATATTTTAGTATAGTAAATCAATTTTAAAAGGTAGGGTCAAATTTATCGTCAACAGTTGCTCCTCTTTGACCGGAGACGATGAAAGAGTTTTCTGGCAAAGAAATTGAACCAAAGCTAATTTTATCCCAACTTTAGGCATACACTACAGGAATAGCACGAAGACTATGAGTTGCAGGATTGGAAGTTAATGAAGATTCTGGGAGGATATTAGGAAGATTTTGGGAAGTTGGGGCTGAATTCTAGCTTTGAAACTTATATATGTGGGGCTTAATGAGGATCAGGCCTCATGTAGTTCTGGAGTGATGATTTTGAGGAAGCGATACTCGCAAGAATTGCCCCAATGCGGTGAGACGGAGGATTGGGCACTCAGGATAGCTTGAATTTTGCGGCTTGACTTGAAGGATTCAAAAGATTTGGAGTTCCACTAGTTGTTTTGTGCCTGAACATGGATCCTTGACCCGCTAATGAGTTTGTTGTTCTTCATAGCATTGTAGTTTTGTCTGCCGCTTAGAAAGAGTTCCACGTTGCGATATTTGTTCCTGCAAAAAATGAAATACACACATACCCATATATTGCAATGCAAAATATATTAGATTTGATGTAAATGATGTAGGAATGATGAGTTCGGGCTGCCGGCGAGCCGCTATTTAGGATCGGGATGATGGAATACTTGAACTTGACTCGGTTTGTTAGTCGGGCTATGTACCATTTCGCAGCTGCCGGAGCATTGAAAAGTGTCTCCACTTGTTGGGAGAGCTTTGCACTTAGAAATATCTTCGCTTGTTGGGAGAGCTCAATTTATAGAGTGGGTCTCCGCTTGTTGGGAGGCTTTTCACCGAAATGTAAAGTAATCTTCGCTTGGGAGCGATCTTCTTAAAACGTAATCATGCATGAAGCTGCATGGGCAAAATATCAAAATATTCAAGGTAATAGCAAAGGAAAAGAAAAGCATGCCCAAGAGATACTCTTTACTCTTTAGCTAATTGCGGACATCGATTGGCAAAACGTCGATGATGAGGTTTACGACTGTCTCTTTTGGTCTCCGTTGTGACGGAGTAGCGGTGCAGATTGTTCCATTGGCGGAATGAACAGTTTGCTATATACAAGGCTTCAATAGGTGAAGCTAATGTTTGATTTGTACAGGGAGCTCCGGTCGATTGAGTTAACGATTTGCTATATACAGGTCTTCAATTAGTGAAGTCGACGACTCATTTTCTACAAGGTGATCCGATTGGTTAAGCAGACGGTTTGCTATATACAGGGCTTCAATTGGTGAAGCCGATGACTCATTGCTATATACAGGGTGCCTTTTCCGTATTAGTGGTCAGACTCTGAGGTACCTGCAAAGGATTCAAGGATTAGCTTTTGTTATACTAGAAAAATTTAAGCAAAGGTTAAAGGGTGATAATCTTGGGGAAGTGGCGGATCCGTCATTTTCCCAAGTGTGGTCCCACCACTTCCTTACTTCCTATTGACCCTGCACTCAATGAAAATTTCTCAGTTGGAGCGGGTAGGGGGAGAGGGGATTTTGTTTGTGTCGACCATAGTGTCAGTTTCTCCCCGACCTTTGATATGGTTACTCCACGAAGTTCGGTAGGTGGAACAATTTACTGTATGTTTAGAAAACAATTTTGAAAAGCTTTGATTTAAGACAAATCATCGTTCCAGATTATGACATGCTACAAAAGGTTCTCCAAACGCGAGTGTCACTTCTTGAAAACTCCATCCTGTTGATGTCGATTTTTCGTGATGCTTTGACAACACGGTTGCTTGCCGTTGCGACTGGATCCTAATTCAAACTAATGCATTACAAAGGTTTTTCTTAAGGTTATGACCGAACCCTTTCAGGTTGCCTACGTATCCAAAACAAAACCAGGTCTGAACGTAGTTCGTGGATGATGATAGAACTAAGATGAAGATGACCGAGCCTGACTCAGGCAGCCTACGTATACAAATGGAATCAGGTCAAGATGTAGTTCAATTACAATAGATGCAAAATGATGAGATTAAGAATGATATGGCCGAGTCTGACTTAGACTGCCTACGTATCCAAATGGAATCAGGCCAGAACGTTGTTCAACTACAAAGACGGATGAATTCAATGAGGATTGCCTACGCATTCCTCCCTGAGGAATTAAGTCGGCGTAGTTCCAGAGCAACATACAAAAATTATGTTTGGATTTTCTATTACAAAAGAAAGGAGGGAGAGGAACTGAACCCTACGTGGGTTGCCTACGTATCCCTCCGTGGGAAGTCAGGTTAAACGTAGTTCTGTCACAGCAAAACCTAACTCTATTTCTCTTCAAACATAGTATCTTTTGATTACGTTTGAGTTGATGGTCTTCATGTTGATTCTTCTATCCATTACTACCAAGTTTAGAAGTCTACTCGACAACACTCGGTGAACCAGGTAAGGACCTTGCCAGTTTGGTACGAACTTTCCTTTAGCTTCTTCCTGGTGGGGAAAGATTTTCATCAGGACCAACTAGCCCGTGTGAACTGGCGAGGCTTTACCCTTTTGTTAAATGCACTGGCCATCCTGTTCTAATATAGCTAACCGTGGCATACTGCATCCATTCTCTTTTCGTCGATGAGCATGACTTGCTGCTGTCTGACCTGTATCCACTTTGCATCATCCAACTTCGCCTCTTGAATGACTCTCAAAGATGGTATCTCGACCTCTACGGGTATCACAGCTTCATTGCTGTATACTAACATATACGGCGTTGCCCCGGTGGATGTTCTCATGGTTTTCGGATAACCTAGTAAGGCGAAGGACAGTTTCTCGTGCCATTGCCTATGATATTCCATTATCTTTCGCAGGATCCTCTTGGTATTCTTGTTGGCTGCCTTGACTGCCCCATTCATTTGCGATCTGTAAGCTGTGGATTTACGGTAGACGATCCTAAATTTCTCGCACATTTCTCTCATAAGGTCGCTATTGAAGTTAACAGCGTTGTCGTTGGTGATTGACTCTGGTATCCAAAATTGGCAAACGATGTTGTTTCGGACAAAATCCACCACTACCTTCTTTGTGACGGCCTTGTAGGTTGATGCTTTGACCCATTTGGTGAAGTAGTTGATTGATACCAAGATGAAGCGTTGCCCATTTGATGTAGCAGGCTTTATAGGTCCAATCACATCCACGCCACAAGCGGGGAACGACCAGGGTGAACCCATCACATTTAACTCATTCGGCAGAACCCGGATGAAATCCCCGTGAATCTGGCACTGGACACTTTTGTACATAGTTGATACTATCACTTTCCATAGTCATCTAAAAGTATCAAGCTCTCAAGATCTTCTTGGCTAATGTGAACCCGTTCATGTGGGGTCTGCATATTCCCGCATGTATTTCTTCCAATAACCTGATCCTATCGGCGGCATCTACACATCTCAACAAACCCAATTCTGGGGTCCTTTTGTATAGGACTTCCCCATTAAGGAAAAGGTGATTCGCCAACCTCCTGAGGGTTTGCTTCTGAATATTAGTAGCATTATCCGGGTACTCTCTGGTTGGAAGGAATCTCCTGATGTCGTGGCATAATGTTTTACCATCAGGCTCTTCATCTACATAGAAGAAATAGGGTCGTCATGGCCCTCAAGTAGGTGGCACCGGCATTTTGAGACCGAACGACATGACTTTATAGCTGTAAACTGCCCAAGATGTGGTGAAGGTTGTCTTTTATGCATCTTCCTCATGCATCAAGATCTAGTGGTATCTAGCGAAACAATCCACGGCGATTGCAATTCATGCTTCGCCTAATTGTCGATGAGGATGTGGATATTTGGAAAATGGAAGTCATCCTTTGGGCTATCTTTGTTGAGCTTTTGGTAATCCATGCATATCCCTGTCTTCCCGTCTTTCTTGTGTACTGGGACGATATTTGCCAACCAGCTGGGATAATTGGTGACCCTTACCAAATTCGCCTCTATCTGCGTGGTTACCTCCTCATTTATCCTCAAACTCAAATCGGGCTTGAATTTCTGGGTTTTTTCTTGACCGGCAGTCTGGAAGGATCAGTAGGCAGTCCATGCGAAATAATGTTAGTACTTAATCCCAACATGTCATCATATGACCATGCGAACACATCGATGTATTGTCGGAGGAGCTCAACCAGTTTTCCTCCGCTCTATTTCTAGGTGAATGCTGATTTTGGTTTCCTTCACGTCTTCTTCACTTTCGAGATTGACCACTTTTGTTTCTTCGAGGTTGGGCTTTTTGTGACTCTCCGACTGTTTAATCTCTTGCGGGAGATTTTCTGGCATCATACTCTCCTCATACTTCTCATAATCTGGGTCATTTCGCTTGATAGTTTCGTTACATGTCACAATCACGAAATGTGGGTTTTTATCATTTTGATTAATGAAAAGAAAAACTAAGTATAAATGAAGAGGTAAATAAAGTTGCATATTTTAAGAAAATGATTCTTTTTATTTAATCAAAAGAGGAACATCTAAGCGTTCAAAAGAGGCAAATGACAAAAAGGTACGGATACGGTGCATGCCTCAATTGACCGTGTGCATTTCAAAAGAAAACTTTTATAGTTCCACACTTCCAAGACTCCCGGCGAACGAGAGATGGATTGGTGGTCTAATTTCGTAGCTCTTCTCTTAGTTCGGCATTCCTAATGGTCGGTGTCTTAATGTTAGTAACTTCACGAACAGCCTTCCCATTCCGTCGATGATATCATCTACTCGTGCTGAACTCTGGCCCGTACCCGAAACATGCTCTGGCATAAAAACATTTTTACCGGAACTAATGGTATGAGTTTTCCTCACCGGAGGCTGGTATCCAATGCCAACCCTTCCTTTTTGCCCATTAGGTTCAATTTCTCTGTAATCTCATATGGCCTGGCTCCCAACCCGGTTCGTGGTCTGTATCCATATTTCATCTTCTCCCTCGTATCCATCTTTGATCTATACTGCGACTGCATTCCTAATTTTTGTTCAGTCTCTTCTATTTGGGTACTCTGCATGATTTCCTCTACATGAAAAGCAACCCCGTCTAGCCCTTCAATGAACGGGACTGCGTGCTCCCAAATAAGCTAATTGGCCCCATTCACCATGGACCATGATCTCCTGATATCCCCAATCAAATTTCATGCATTGGTGCACGGTGGATGGGTGGCCCTTGCCATGTGGGCCTTCGTAGCAGCAAGATGTATGAAGAAGAAATATCCATTACTTGAATCAATATGGGAAATTCAACTGGCCCGATCTGCAAAGCCAAATAAATTTCTCCAATAACTTCCTTTTGCGAGCCATCAAAAGCCCTTACCCTCACATGGCTTTCTTTGACTTCCCTCAGATGGATTCCCAACTCCTGCGGAGTAGAGAGCGGACAGATGTTGACTCCTGACCCTCCATCAACCAGCACCCAGGACACCACCTTGTCCCCACATTAGACAATGATATGAAGAGCTTCGTTGTGACTTATGCCTTCGACAGGAAGTTCGTCTCTTCTGAAAGTGATCATATTTGCTTCGACCATTTTCCTAATTGTTGCAGCCACCGCCTCATTAGTGGTGTTGCTTGGAACACTTACCCCGCTTAGTACTTTCATCAAGGCATCTTTATGATTGTTGGAGCTCATCAACAAGTCCATGATTAATATTTGCGCAGGAGTTTTCTTAAGTTACTCCTCCACGGATTACTCTTTGGTCGACATTCTCTTCCAGAATTCTGCGCTTCTGTGTCTGTAATGTTCCTTCTTTGAATCTGCTCTCTTCCTGAATTCCCTCGATTTGTATCTTTAGGAGCGTAACATATCCCTGACCTAGTCATACCATGGGCTACTGCAGAGTCTGTTATTTTGGCCTTCCTTTTTTGTTGTTATGTCAATGGGACATCTTTGTATTCCCTACTTTCTTCATACTATATAGCTACGGCAGGTTGTCGTTGATAAGTCTGAACCGTCACTGCGGGTCTCACTTGCATTATGACCATCAGAGTCCTTTGAGATGGGATCCTTGCAGCCTCTGCATTTCCTATTGTGACAATAGTTCCTTTCAAACAATATTCTTCGTCCAAAATGATCATGTTCACCCCTGATTCCGATGATTTGGCAGCGGATTACGATTCATATTAGGGGGAGCCGACGTGCACTAAATGGCTCCGCTCTTGATCAGTGTTTCAATTTTATTTTTCAAGTTAAAACAATCTTCAGTATCATGCCCAGGAACGTTTGAATGGTACACGTACCGTTTAGTTTCATCAAAATACTTTGAGGGATACTCAGAAACCCTTCCTTCCACTGGATGTATCTGTAATGACCCGACCGATCATTTTGCTTTCTAGATCAGTGTTCTCCTAAATAAGACTCCCCGTATGTGGTTTTACTATTTTATGACTTACGGGGATGATTTCTTCCGGTTTGGAAGGGTTCAGGTTGAAATCGGAACACCCAGTTCTTTAATATTGGCTAAAAAGGGTTAAGTTTTCCTTGAGTCAACATTTTTGATAAACGACCTCGAAATCGGGATTTGACGGTCCCAATAAGTTTGTATGATGATTTTTAACTTGGGCGTATGTACGGATTGGGTTTTGGATGACCTGGGAGCATTTCGGTGCATAAAGTTGAGGTTTTAAAGTTCTTTAATTTGGTTTGAAGAAGGTTTTGGTGTTATCGAGATCCGTCTGGGATTCCAAGCCCGAGAATAGTTCCATATAGCGATCTAATACTTGCACGCAAAATTTGGTTTCATTCTGAGTAGTTTATGTATGATTCGGCGCGTTTAGAGTAAATTGGAAGAACTTAAAGTTCATAAGTTGATTCAAATTGGTTTGGTGTGTGATTCTTCGTTTTGATGTTGCTTTATACGTTCCGAGGATTTTAGCGCGTCCATCTTATGTTTACGAACTTGTTGGTATGTTTGGGAAAGCCCCCGGGGGCCTCGGGTGCTATTCGGATGATGCACGGATCAAGTTTTGACTCTGCAGAAATGGCTGAAGCAGTAGAGTTTTTATTGCAATCGCATCTGCGAGGAGCTAGCCACAGGTGCGAGCTTGCATGTGCGAGCATGTGGCCGCAGAAGCGATTTTGGGCGAGTTGGCTGTGGCCCACAGAAGCATAGGGATTTTTGCAGAAGCGGCCTCGCTTCTGCAAGGGAAGGGCCGCAGGTGCGAAGAGGCCGACCAGGCCTGGGTCGCAGATGCGAGAGGCAAACCGCAGAAGCAGGCTCGCAGGTGGGGTGTCCTTTCTGCAGCTGCGCCCAGTGCTGGGCTTTGTACGTGCTACAGAAGCGGACCTTTGTCCGCAGAAGCACTGTCACTGGTGCGACCCAACATCCACAGAAGCGGAATCAATGGAGGTAGTGAGGTCTTTTAATGTCGGGAATTAGGCCATTTTGGTTCATTTATTTCACTTCTTGGGCGATTTTTTGAGCTTCTTAGAGAGGTGTTTTTACCTAGCTATTGAAGGTAAGTAATTTATATCCATTGAAAGTTAATTACATAGATTATGGGTAGTTGTAACATGAAAACCTGTGAAAATTATGTGTTTAGTTGAAAAACTTAGGTTTTAACAAAATGTGATTTAACCACAAAAATGATTATGTCATTGAGTGAAAATTATATATTTGAGTTCGTTAGGTTATGGATAATGTTTTTCTTCGAAAATTTCCAGAATCCAAGTACGTGGGCCCAGGGTGAATTTTAGGAATCTTCCAATTTGGGTTGAGTAATTACTCTAATAGTTAAATTATGAACCTTTGAACATGTATTGATTAATTTATGTAACCTTTGACTAGTTTCGGATTGTTCGGCATCGAGTTGAGGATTTAGAACGAACTTTTGGGACGGAATGTGAGCTTTGAGACGAGGTAAGTCTCTTTCCTAACTTTGTAAGAGGGAATTTACCCCATAGGTAATTTAAATTACTATTTCGATCTAATTGTGGGGGCTATGTACCCACTAGGTGAGGAGAGTCCGTGCGTAGCTACTAATTATGCTTATGTCCAAGTAGTTTAGGACCCCAAATTATGAAATGCTTGTAATGTTTGCACCCTACTTGTTAATTTAAGTTCCTAAATTATATTGCTTGATAAAGAGATTGTAAAAGACCAAATTTCACTTACTTGAGTTTTGGCGCGTTACTTGACTATTAATAGAAATTTAGCACTTTGTGTATTAGCCTTGTAAATAACTTTTAAATCAGTTATTCCGAGAATATCCTTTCATCTTGTAGAGTAGGCCGAACGCATCGGTAGTAGAATAGATGCATCTATGGTTCGTGCTGCTCAATCCTC